CGGTGCTGGCTCTCTGGGACCCGCTGCCCTTCTCGGGTGGGCGGTGTGAGCTTTCACCGACAACGTGAACAGCAGGCTAAGGTTTGGAAGTGCACAAGCATCTTCCAAGAGAAAGCAGGTACAAGCCATACGGAAAGTTGAAATTTATGTCTGATAGAGGGGAGAAAACTGATCTGCACCTTTGTGAAGTACTTCACACCCCCAAAGGCATCCCTGCCTGGGCACTGCGTGGTGGGATAAATGACTGGGTGTGAGGCTTTGTTCTCAACTACAGAAAGATTCAGCGTGGTTCCGATTTTAGGAAAGCAGATCTTTTAAATTGCAGCTGAAAATGGTTTGACTTTAGGCTGGCCTGGGACTGATGTCTCCCCAGTTAAAGAGGGGAGAAATGGGATATATGCTTGGGGTGGGTGGGTAGGGGGGGAAAAGGGGACAGTTCAACAGTACGGTGTTAAATTGTGCTCAGGGACATGCTTGGGAACACCATGAAGCAGTGTCCTCCACTTCTCTTTCTAGATACCTGCTCTTTCAGCTGTCAGAGGACATCACTGAAGATGAGCTGAAATCTTTCAAGTTTCTTTTGGGGAAGGACCTACCAAAATGCAGGCTAAACCCTAAGACTGTAAGAATTTCTTTAATTTTTTTTTATTGTTATAATCCATAGAGGGTTACTCTGAGAGGAATGAATGTCACTCTTATGGTGAAAACACCACAAGAAAAGCTGGAAAGGGATTATAGGCTCTCCAGTGCATATGGGACTTGATGTGCTAGTGTTGTGTGTAGCTTTTTCAGCAGTGTCACAGCCCATAACGACAGACACAGACGCTTTCATGTCCAGGCACCACAGGGGGCTTAGGGGACTCGGTGGCTTTGATCAGTGGAAGGCTGATGAGCACATTCACTCATCTTGCCCAACCAATTTTCTTCTGGCTGCTTTCTAAGTCATTATCAAACACAGAAAATCGTTCTGTTTATTTCCAGACTCAGAAAATATGGATCCAAGCAGCAGATCCTTACCAAGGCTAAGGCCCAAGAGCTTAGAGTTTACAAATAGCCTTGCAGGCGATCCAGCTGCTCTTACACTATCTCAGCCTGCAGGTCCAAATGCTGGGTACTTTGTTCTGGCTAATTAAAACTTCTTTTAGCATTTTCCCTCTTTTTGTAGAGGCGAGACTATGTGACCATCTAGTGATAGCTGTTAAATCCTTGGGCTGACCACTGCTCTGCCACTCGCTGTTTGGCAAGAGCTCCTGTCCCGTGGGTCCACTTTTGCTTCAGAGCAATCTCTACACCATGCTTGCATGGTTATACCCATTTTCACCATTGCTCAAGGTGGTCACTACAGTGATTCTTGTGTTAAGTGCATAAAGTAGCCACTGGAAGTCAAATTAATGAAAGCAGTAATTAAAAATGACATTATATATTCCTGTATGATCACCATTAGATCGCCTGGATTAGATCTTACTCGATCTTGGCATCTCTGAGCTGCAGAAGACAAATAAGTATGTTTTGAGAATATGTTTGTACTTAGAGTACATGCAGGTTTTGTTAAACTAGGTTTAATTGACTCAGCTGAGGTCCCAACTGAGCTACCAGTCAGCTGGACAGACTCTGTGGGTCGCATGTGCTGTCAGGACATTAAAGCTTAGGTGCACATGCACATGCTGCAACTTCCCTCCCAGTGGCAGCACAGATGTGCCCTAAGAGCAAACTACCTTTCTGATTACCCAGACAATGCTCGACGTTTTCATTGAGATGGAGAAGAAGGGGATTTTGGGAGAAGACAACCTAAGTATCCTGAAGAGTCTTTGTGCAGAAATTAACATCAGCCTGTTGAAGAGAATTGAAGAGTATGAATTAAACCTATTTGGTAAAACAAAACAAAAAGGCCTCTTTCCCATGGTTATTCTTGAAGTGACATATAGGTATCATACAGGCCTAATAATGAATGCTTTTCAGGTGAAGAAGAGATGCTCATCACAGAGGGACAGAGGGGAAGCACAAGAGGCCCTGAAGGTAATTGAAACTCTCAAAAAATTAATGTTTAGATTTTTCACTCTTCAGCTTTTGGACTCTCTACACCACTTGCATCTCAGTTCTTTACACTGGTGCCTCTAAAAAGTGATCAAGTATCCAGTTACTTACTAACTGATCACAATAAATTTTACTCCCTTTTAGTTGATTATCTAGTGGTTTATAGCTAACAGGAATGGTCAATTCAGACACAATTCAGTATTTTCAGGAAAGTTTTACCCTGGGAGGTACTTGTGGAGATGGAGAATAGGGGCAGAGCTTCTCTGCTTTCTCAGGTGCTACGTTCTGTACTTAAACTTTTTTGTCTGTATTCAGCCCATGCCAGACGGCCACCATTATCTGTGGGATCTGATTCTCCTGGCAGTCAGAATGAATCTTCCCAGGTAGGTAATTTTGTTTCTTAGAAACATCATCATTTTGTCTTAGAAGACATCATCCCTCCATGAGGTGAACAGTTATTATAAGCCCAACTGTTAAAAGCACTGTCTAGAAAAAGAAAAAGCACCACTCTAATATCCTTTATTCTGAAGCTGTCACAGGCAGCAGCTGCTTCAATGTTAAGACTTCAGAAGGGGTGGCAAGATAGTCTATTATACCAGGAAATACGCAGTTGGCAGATGGCTGGGCATGGAGAAGAGGGTGAACGCAGCACCTCATGCAGGTTGAACGTGATGATGTGGGTCTGGGGGAGGTGCTGTTGTGCTGTGCATAGACTCCCACAGGTGGTGGGGCAGTGCACTGCCAGGTCCTTGGAGCAAAGCTGTATAGGGAGCGCTAGCTGCCTAGAGAGCATGTCAGCTAGCTCTTCATGCTGCTGTGGCACTAGCAAGGGCTGAGAAGCACCTGCAAGGGAGTGTAGTAGTTTCACCAACAGTCTTTCTTTTCAGCAGCTTGAAACTTACAAAATGACTAGCCGACCCCGTGGAGTGTGCCTGATCCTGAATAATCATGATTTTGCAAAAGCCAGGGAAGCAGTGCCAGAACTCAAAAACTTGAAGGATCGGAATGGGACAGATGTGGATGCAGGTACAGTGAACACGAGAGATGAGTTCAGATCTTCAAAAATAGAAACCTTATTTCTTTTTCTGTACTAAAGGTCTGAATTTCAATCTTCCCCCACTAGGATGCTTTTGTTGTAGTGGATGAGTCGTGTTTGTTTGCTGTGCTGACAAACCCTAATGAACTCATTGAGCTTTTTACTGGCTGACTCAGACAATTCACAAGCATTTTGGGGTTTTGCTGAGTTTACTGCATCCTTAAGCAGCAACCTCAGCCTGGGCTTTAAAAGCTGGGCCAGCTTTGTGTTAGCCTTATGCATACTACTTCTAAAATACGCAGAACTGGAACCAGATTTGCTGCTGAGCCAGAATTGGGTGTTAGTTGTTTAACATCCAACATGTGTTGGGAGGAGGAGGGAAATAAAAAGTGAAGGGAGATGTTGGAATTTAGGGACTTGATCACCTTTCTGTTGTCCTGCAGCAGCAGCACAGTTCATTGCAGGGCCTCAGATCTATAAGATGGGTATATTTGCACTGTCTATGCCAAGAGATAAAATCCATCGATGGGCCTTCCCTGACTGAATTGAACTCCAACTTAATTCAAGAGTCAGAGTGCAAGGTTTCTCTTCCAGTGACACAGGTACTACCCAAAGGGGTAGTGCCCTCTCCTCTTGGGTAAAGCAACTGCACTGTTCAACACTTTTTTAGAGATGAATGGAGTAGCTGTAAAGCGTGTAGGGGAAGGAGATGCAGCTTTCTTCATAGTTGCATGCTTGTCAGACAAGGGCAATACTAAACAGCAAGATTGCAAGGAATCCTTTTAGTGAGAGTTAAGGAAACTCAGTGGAGATATGATTAATGATTAGACTACT